AGTTTCTTATGGAAACCTCAGGGACTGATGTATGGATCATCCCCCAGTGTGTTGTGTCCCTCCTGGAGTGCTTTCTCCTGTGATGTTCAGTTATGCACGGTTATAACTATCTCATGGTGTGCTGGTAACAAGTGTTTGGTAACAAATCACAGCAAAATGTGAGGTATGAAAATACTGCAACATAATCCACTTGAATCCAGTGAATTAATACATTCCAGCTTGATTTGTCCAATTCTGTTTAGCTGACAAATCCTGCAACCATTGTAATATACACAGTGGGCTAGTGAAGCTACAGACAAGTTATCCAGCCAGATCAGGGTGTGAAGCTGCTTTGTGAAATGATGAGTTTATTTCCCAAGACTTATCTTCAAAAGCTGCCAGTTTGTCAGTTTCCCTCTTCAAGAGGAAGAGGCAGTTACAGCACCAGTCGGCCTGGTTAATTACATCTTGTTAGCTGGAACTGACCCTTTCAGAAATCACAGGGCAAGAAACCCACAGAGAATCCTTAGGATGGTGGGAGGACTCATCAGCTTAGTTGGTGGGAAAGCCCATAACATTTCTTCCCTCAGACTGATCAATTATCCAAACAGCCCAGCAAGACAGAGCTCTTTCCTTCCCTTTTCTGGCAATTAAACAGCTTTAACACTAACTGGGAGCTTACCTTGTTTAATATTTCCTTGTAGGGATGATTCCCATGCAACAGCAAGGATTTCCAATGGTTCCTGTCATGCAGTCCAACATGCCAGGCATGATGGGGATGAATTACGGTTCTCAGATGCCTCCTGGACCCATGACCATGCAGGTGAGTGGCAATGAAATGTGGACTGAAGTGAGATAATGTAAAGAATGATTTCTGATAATTTGAAGAAATCTCCAAGTTTCATTGGGATCTGGATAAGAGACAGTGGGGGATTTTGGCACACATTACTCATGTTGTGGAGTTGAGAGAAATGAGGGTGTAGCATCACTAATGTTTAAAGTAACCTGGATGTTATAGCCAACTCAGATGTCAGAATCTGAACGTTCATTTCATTATATGTGCTATGACACCAGGGTGTGATAAGAGAAACATGGTCTCAGAACAGGAAAGGAAACAAAAGCATCAACAAGATGGTAAAAAGCTACCAGATGCCACCTCCTCCAAAGTGTGATTAGTAATAGTATTGAATTGTTAAGTAACTATAATTCAGAACTCCCACAACACACCTCTTCTGTCTTCTTAATTTTACTTTGTGCTTTTTCTTCCTTTGCTTTATGTACTTACTGTTAAGGTGGTGTCTTGGTGAGACCTTCATAAGCTGATCAGAAGTGACTGGGTACACAATCTGATTGTGACCAGTTCACTGGATGGTCTTATGCTGGAGTTCATAGAATGGAGTTTCCTGAGCGTAGGTGGCAATTTCTAAGCTTTGTTTTTAAATACCTTGGTCTAGGGAGCAAGGAATCTCTCAAATGTGCTGGGTTTTCTCCGGTTCTCCCGTTTGTCCTACTTCCTATGTTTCATTCGCATTCTTTTTGTTGCCTAAAGTAACTTTGTCTCTAACTCTGCTGTTGCTAATTGAGCAGTAAGAGTGAAAAATGAGTAGCTAATATGTTTTTACTCTTTTAATATTTTTTTCTTTTTTAGCACCATATGTGCTTATGTACAAATTTGCACTCTGCTGAAATGGAATGTTTTGGCATGGCTCTGTAGCCAAACTGCTAAGTGACAAATTGAGTTTCTCGTATCTTGCCATCTCTTTACCTTCCCTTCCCACCCCCTCCTGGAATTTTGTGAAATGTGTAGTAGGAAGATTGAGAGCTCGTCTAAAAATAATAAACAACTTTTGTTCTCTTCTTACGTGTTCTGATACCAAATACAAAATGAGTGGTAAGAAAAGTAAATTATTTTCTGGACCCTTCTATTTTAAGCAATCTTTGCTCCTATAACTGTACCAGAATATATTTCTCAGCAAGTGTTTCTCATGCAGACACAGGTTATTGAGACAAGCCTGCCCTTGGCTTTTGTTGTATAAGTGTCTTCCTCCCTTGAACCTCTGAATAAGCTGTTTGTGAAATGACCAGACCACATTTTGTGGCATCCTTTGTTGGTCAGGAGTGTGCACCTCCAGCAGTGAATTAAAAGTGCTATGTGACCACTTAGCATAGGAAACAAAACCCCAGACCTCTAAAATCCTTGAAGAACTGCAGCTCGAGAGGGAAGAGTGCCATCTACTGAGGGACCAGTGCTCTGTGCTGTGGCAGGGAGTCTGTGCTGCTCATCCAGCTCTTAACGCTCTTCATTTTATGAGATTCTCCCTAGTTTGCAATGTGTCAGGATGTAATTGCCAGAGCTTTGGCTTTTTCTATGGAAAAGAGTAACCTTGGGGTTGTTACTTATTTTGTTGTAGGGTGGCATGCCCTTAGGGCCAATGCCAGCGACTGGGATGCCTTACATGGGACAGGCTTCTTTCCTGGGAATGCGCCCAGCCGCCCCGCAGTACACCCCGGACATGCAGAAGCAGTTTGCAGAGGAACAACAGTAAGTGACACTTCTCTGGCTCAGGAAATTCTTCTTTTTAAAGGGGGAGGTGTGCTCTGGAGGGGAGGTCCACACAGTAAATATATTGATAGTTCCTCTAGAGAAGTAGTCTTTTTTAGGGCTGTGGAATGTTGTTGAGATCATTCCATTGCATTTGAAGGCATCTGTGAAGTTACTGGTGACTGTCTCCCAGCTCTGAGAAGAAGCAGAAATGTGCACACAGAGCCACCTGAATTAGAGACAGAAGAAATGGAAAAATCAAGCAGAAGTTTGCCATGAAAACTGTAACGAAAAAGTGGTTTTAGACTTACTTTTTAACATCATTTTTCTTCAGGAAGAGGTTTGAGCACCAGCAGAAATTCTTGGAGGAAGAAAGGAAACGACGCCAGTTTGAAGAGCAGAAACAAAAGCTGAGGCTCCTAAGCAGTGTGAAACCTAAGGTATGTCCTCAATAACAACTGCAGTGTTTCTTTCTTCAGGGTTGTTTTTAATGGCTTTTAATGGGATGATCTTTTTCAACAAGCAGATAAGTGGGGAACTAATATGAGACATCAGATGACATCTCAGAAAGCATCTGGAATAGTCAGTACTTTCCGCACTCTTGGTCTGGTGCTGAAAATGAAATAAGCTCAAGAAAAAATAAACCAACCTGGTGTGTAACATTTGGGACCAGACTGAGTTTCTGGAACGTGGAATGTTTGGTTTCTTGTTTGTTAACTTTGGACAAAGGTTTGGACACTTATGATGAGCTCAAAGTTTTTTGTCTACCAGAATACAAATGCCTGAGTAAGGTTTATATATTGTTCTTGTGCTTAAAGCTTTGCCTAAAGACTGAGGAACACTGTTATGGTGTAGTCTGCAAAGGAAGAGCTTTCTAAACATGGGAGTTAATGCTGATGTGCTTCAGGAAGGCACTGCTGGAGAAAGAAGGGTTGAACCTAGCAGCAGGCATTGCTCGTTTTGTACTGAAGAAGTGTGGATACTGAAAGATAACTGAGATGATCTGTGAATGTTCCAAAATGTGTTCTGTGGTGTTCCAGACAGGTGAAAAAAGCAGGGATGAAGCTTTGGAAGCCATTAAAGGAAATTTAGATGGGTTTTCTAGAGATGCTAAAATGCACCCAACACCAGCAGCGCATCCGAAAAAGCCAGGTTTGTCATTTTTCTCATCTTCCAATGGAACTAAACCACTAATGTTTGAAATCCTCAGCAGGGGAACTAATTCCAGGAAGTATTTTCATTTGATGGTACAAAGTGAGTGGATTAACTGGGTTTTTAAAATAAAGTGTCCTTCTAGCAATTGTTTGTTACGTAAACTCTTTGTCTCTACTGTGGATTTGCTCTTTGATAACTTTGAAGTTACAGGTGACTTCTGACAATTTCACATTGCAGATTTGCCCATCCTGGACCAGTTCTGTTAAAATAGGTAACTATGGAAGGGATCAAGCAGAAAATTGTCTAAATGAATAGACATTTCTTTTGTATCTTAGGATATATTATTGAGTTTCTGAGGATAAAACAGTCCTTTGAGGGAGAACATCCCCCTGTGCAGATCCCTGTTGTGTCCAGTTTGAAGTAGTACCTTTTGATTTGTTTTGATCCAGTCTGTTTAAATAAAATACTTTCATAGCCAGTGTTAAGATCCAAGTTTCAACATGTTTACATCAGAACTCTGGGAGAGAAGATGCACGGTTGGAAGTGGCTGCTCAGCTTTACCTTATGTTTTTGTTATGCTGACAATAACAACCTTTCACATTTCTGTCAAGTGATGCATCCATTGCTGCTCCCTCACCCATTTGCTATGTATTCCTAGTATTTGCCCCCTTTCCTCCCTTTCCACCCATGAACCTTTTTCCTCATCACTTTCCATTGTGTGTTCATTCCATTTTACAGATCATCCCACATCATCCCATTCTGCTGTATCTGTTTCCCACTCTGCTTTTGTTGATGATGAAGAATTTAGTGACTTTATACAAGGGCCTGTTGAAATCCCCACACTGGTGCCTCAACCCACCTCTCAGCCTTTTCAGCCTTTCCATTCTGCTGCTGAGGCTGGGCAACTGCTTTCTGAAAAGGCTGTGGTCCAGCCTCTCCCTGCAGCCCAGACTCCAGTGTTACCCATCCTGCATGGTACAACTGGGCAGGTTCCTTATTTTCCTACCTCTGCATCTTCACCCAGTATCCATAAAACAGGTAACTCTAAAGTATGTTTTTTATTACATGTCACCTTCTGTCATAGAGCTACACAGAGTCTTTACTTATGTTGTTGGGGTCTATTTTAGTCTGGCCAGAAGAAGTACTATATAAGTAATTGAGTAGAAACCTGCTGATCCATGGGAAAAGGTGATTTAAGTCCCCTTCTTCCTCCCCTGGAACTGCACGGTTCTAAGGCAAGTTCTAAAAGCAAGTCATGTATCCAGACATTGCTAAATACATATATGGCTGATCTCAAATTAATTAAGTCTTGTGCCTAGCATCTTTGTAAGCCTGTATAGTAGAGAAAGATACAGGTGAGATGGTGGTATGAAAAGTAACTCTTATGCTATGTGGGAGCACTTGTGTGCTTCCTCTCTTGGAGGCTACATGGATATTGGTGAGATTAATGTGAAGAATTTTGCAGGGGTAAGTAGATACTGGACACTTCTGCTGATGCTTAGATGATTATGCAGTGATAATCCCAACAGAAAATAGTTTCATGTATTCCTTCTACTTGTTGATTTTTGTTTGTTGCATTTGTTGTGTATCCATGGTAAGTAAAGGGCAGAATCAGGCTTTAGAAGTGTTTGCACAGGGTGCTATTGGTCTGAGCTGGAATGGATGCTCATCGTGATAACCCCTCAGTGGTACCAGTAACACTTTTCCTTTGAAAGTGTGGAATTGTGATGTGGGTGCTTGATAATAAAACATAAATAATTCCTCCTGCTGTTTATTCAGGCTCTTCCTTGGAGGAAAAAGTCTTAGATAATGGCTCAAATGACTCTGAACAAGAGCAAACCACACTTAAAACATCTGAAGTTGGGCACAAAGCCTCAGCTGCAAGCCAAGTTCATCCCAGTCTAACCATCAATGACTGGGGGGTTGTAGGTGGCCAGGAAAGTGGTACCACCGCTGCAGAGATGCACAAGGCTTCAGAACAAAACAGAGCAGTTGAAGAGTGTGGTGAGCAAATGAAACATTTGAGAGAATTTACATCTAATGAGTTGCTGCTTGGATGCTAACACACTGTGCACTAATTCTGAGGCCAGTCCTGCACAATTTTGCTCTGAATGCCTGCTTGAATAATACATCAGGGCCTCCTGCTCCTTGCTAAAAGTATAACAATGATTTTGCTCTGACCTTTTTCCACGTGAGTTTATTGCTGTAATCACTTTTAACATGTGTGTTAATCAGGTATGCTGGTTTCAAATGCTCTGTCCTCTTTCTTGGGGGAAGGAAAGATGTGCTCTCTGAGGACTTTTCTCATTTTTATGTAAGGAAACTTATTCCTAAAGGTGGTCAATGTCGTGATGGGTTTTCATCTTTTAACTGAGGAGGATACAACCTTGTTAGGTTAAAACTCTTAGCTAGGTAATACTTGTTTCTCAGACAATTTGCTGCTCATATGCATTATGTCTAAAACTACCTGTGCTGTGGGGATCCAGGTTTCAAAAGCTGGACTCTTAAGCGAGTTTTAGTTCCAACAGCAATTGGAGCTAAACAGTTCCAACTAAATAGTTGGCTATTATCAAAGTTTTTAGTATCTATCAGCTAAATATAGTTGAGAATTCCTTTTCACTTCTCATATTATTTGATTTTGAAGAGGCTGAATTTTGCCAGAGAGATTCAAGGGTGAGAAGCAAGACTCAGTAGGATGCGGAAGTGTACAGGAGGGTCATTGAAGCTGAAGGATAATGAGGCTGGAGGAAGTAGCAAATTGATTTTACTTGGCTGGTGAAATGGAAGGAATTGCTTATATTAAAATGTGCTTGGAGTTGTGGGATGATCAGGACTTAGACTGCAGCCAGGAGAGAATCCATGTGGAAGATGAGGAGATGCAAGGGCACTGGGAAAGACGATGAAATCTGAAATTATTCTGATTTTTGTCAGATCTCCATCCAAGATGAGCATAAAATCTTCTCAGGGAGACTAGATAGGAAGTGGAACTGTGAGACTGAGGGAAAGAAGGACATAGCCACAGGGAGTAAAGTGTGGTAGGTCATGTTGTCGAAAGCCTGCAGTAGTGAAGGTGGCTGTGACATCTTCTGGATCTGAAGACCAGAAGCAACGGGGCAGTGGATAAGATCTTGCTGAGATTCATCCTGTTTGTGGATTCCCCCGATAAGGATGTTCTGGTGGTAGGTACAAATTAATTCACTCCACAAGAAGCCCTAATAGCTGCTATGAAAGTTCAAGAGATGATGAGACTTGAGCTTCTGCACAACTGGAAATTAAGAGGGAGGCAGATGAGGAGCTCCTTATTTCATTATGTACGTAACTATATTCTTGCTGTTACTGCCAAATCAGTCTAGTTATTAGGTTGAAATACATACTCCTGCAGTAGCTGTTTTTCCTCTGAGCACAGTGATTCCTATCTGAAATCTTTGCCTGAAATGCTAAATAATACTGACCACCTATGATCTAGTCTCTTAAGATCTTTGTATTCTGGCCCTGTATATCCTAATACAATTGTCTTTCTTTTTCTTCCTGAACGGAACACATTTAGGAGTTGGAGTGTTCCCGTCCCAGGACCCAATTCAGCAAATGATGCCTCCTTGGATTTACAACGATAACTTGGTCCCAGGTAAACAAGAAAGTGGCATTTAGCCAAGCAGGCAACACAAGGTGTGAATGTACGTGAGCTGTTGTTGGTGCTTACTGAGCAAAGTGTTACTCTCCAGTCATCAGCTGAATCCTGTGTCTTTGATACGTTATGAATTTATGGTGGCTTTATCTGCATTTGAAGAAGTGTGGGTTGTATTCATGCTAAATGTTTAATCTGGAATTTGTTATGCCAGCAGATTAGGCTAGAAGAGCTTGTGTTGCTGTGATAATACTGCTTTTATAGGTAGTCTGGGTTTTGGCCTGTCTTGTAATTAAGCAGGCTCATTTCTTAAGGCTCTTTATCTTGTATATGCAAATAACACAGTAAATAGAAAATGAAATGCTGTAGTAAATATTGATTACACTGAGGTCTGAATACATAAAGATGTTACAACTATATTTTGTATGGATTATCCTGCAATTTCATTAAAGAAACATGTTTTGAAATAGAGCATTAAGTGTATTTTATATGAAATATTTCTTTGTGTTAAACTGCGAAGATCATTCCATAACATGATGATACAATACAATGCCAGTTGCCTTACCTTGTACTTTGACTATTACGAATTTGATGTGATATTGAGACAAAACAGCAAAGTAATCTTGAATTCCCTTGAAACCAGCAGTTGTCTCTGCCTAACACTGACTCCTTCATCACAGAGTTGTATAAGAAAATTTTAGAAACCACTTTGACTCCTGCTGGAATAGATACAGCTAAACTCTATCCCATCCTGATGTCGTCTGGATTGCCCAGAGAGACCCTTGGACAGATATGGGCTCTAGCCAACCGTACCACCCCTGGGAAGCTCACCAAAGAAGAGCTCTACGCTGTCCTGGCTATGATAGCAGTAACTCAGGTATGGGTAACACTCTGGAGATCAGCATGTTTTGATTTGGAAGGTTTACTTGAAGCTTGACCAGTACCTGCTTTTCATGATTTCAGTGGCACAAGCTAGAAACAAACTGGGAATGCAACGTGCCTTTTTGTTGATGTGGACATGTGTTTATGGTTGTCTTTGTTTTTCTGCCTTGCAGAGAGGAATACCTGCAGTGAGTCCTGACGTGTTAAACCAGTTTCCAGCTGCCCCCGTTCCTACTTTAAGTGGATTTCCAATGCCGCTGCCGGCCGCAGTGAGCCAGCAGCCTCTGCTGCCCCCTGCGCCGCCTGTCTCCATGCCTCTGAGCATCGGGCCGGCCGTGATGGGGATGAGCATCACGGCTCCGGCGGGCGGAGCTGCAGCACAGCCTTCCGGAGGCTTCCTCCCGTCCTACCCGCCCAGTCAGGTCAGCTCGCTCTGTTACGTGGCAAATCTGCCTTGTCCTGGAGAGGGAATTAGCCTGGCTGTCAGAGAGCTACGTAGTGACAGCAGGCTTAGAGTAAACAGCAAAAAAAGGAGCTGAAATCCAGCATGTGACATCCGAAAACGTGAAGTCATGTCACTAAGGAGCATAGAATCATAGCATGTGCTTTTATTTTGTCCATTTCTTTCTGGTGGCATTAGGAGAGGTACAAAAGCATTCCCCGTTACAAACTAGTTGCATTGAAAGAGGATTTTAGTTGTAGTTAGGATTTTGTAATGCACATTAAATGGAATTTTAGGTTAAACTACACAACAGACTCTATTAGCTTGTAAAATAAGTCAGACTCTTCAGGAGAACTGAGAACTATGAGAACATTTGGTTTCCAGCACTGTAAATCATGTGGGTGATAAATTTTGCTCTTTGCAAATATGGTTCATCCTTCTTCAGAAAATATTTCTTCTGATGCTTTTACTGTGTGTATTGATTTTAAATTATTGATTGATTTTAAATTGTTAATGTTTGTCATGTATTGAAAGATGACATGGCTGTGATGAATAATACTTGTAATGTGAAAGGAGCAGAGTTCCTTCTTCACCTGTTCTTTGTGCATACTACTTGTAATCCCGTACACCTTGCGGGTGTTCGGAGTTGGGTGAGGTGCAAGTGAAGTGGAAACACTGACCATCCTAATTTTGCATGCTGATGTTGAAAGGTTTTTGCCTTCTCTTGCCCTTTTTTTTCCCTCCTCTTATGCCAGTCACGCTGCTCTGAATTGCTTTCGTGCTATGTGACAATTTGAAAAGACAACAGAACAGCAATTTACCTGTTGTTTGTAATTCAGGTAGTAAAACCAGAAGATGATGACTTCCAGGAGTTCCAAGATGCTTCAAAGTCTGGCTCACTAGATGACTCCTTCGCTGATTTCCAGGGAGATGTGGCTGGCTCCTCCAAAGCAGCCAGCTCCCAGCACCGGAGCAGGTACCACATCTTTGCTTTCCACCCCTTCAGTATTTTAGAACACTCTTAAGAAATGAAATGTTTTCCTCTTCTGTGGGTAGCTTTCTAGTCTGTAATTTTCTTCTGTCACCTGACTTCTACTCTGCCTGTTTCTTTTGAAGGTTGTTACAACCACAATTAGGCTTTCTGAATCAAAACTGGCATTTGATGTGCCATAGGTGGTTGGCCATTCTTTAGCATTCTAGTCATCATGCTGAGGTAAATTGCACATACAAGGTATGGGGGTAGGTTCTCAAGTGTTTGTACTGTTGCACAGGCAATTGGAAGTTATTTCATACTGTGCATTCAGGGAAAATCTTACATAAAGCTATTCAGGAAACATACACTGGGATGGAGGAGTTCTGCTTTTAGTGTGCACTTCCAGTAAGTGTGACTCCATGTTTGTGGGAGTTAATAGAAACCTTTTGTTGACATCAAGTTCTTTCTTCGGGCCCTGAATATGGACCCCAAAATTGATGTAAAGACATCATACACTTGACATCATACGCTGAAATGACTGAGAACTCCAGTGGACAGGGGGTTTGTTCTGTTGTTTCTCTGGCCAGTGCTTTAACTTTCAATAAGTGACTATAAATCTCAGTTGAAATCTCATTCAGACTTCAGCAGACTTGGCTTTTCGTTTGGGAGACTGCCAGAATGTAACTCTGGATCAGGGAAATTTTGTATAACAAAATAATTGAGCGTGTTTATTCCCTTGGAGAGTTTACAATTAATCATTCGGAGTCCTGTGATTACAAAATTTCAGTGTTGTTTCCTTTGGCTGCACATGGCAAACTTTCATGTGCCTCCCAGGTGTCTAGTTGTGGGCGCAGACCTGTTCTGTGTCTGAACTGGCTGTTCCTAGTTGCAAACAGAACTCTTTCCAGGTAAGCACAGATGACCAGTTGCTTCCTCAGCAGTGACGTCAAATGGAGATACTAAAACAGATTGTTCTGTTACATGGTGCCTAACAGCATTCTCTGCAAGGGATGTAATTTGGCTGATGTCAGTCAGTGCCATGTGTTGCTGAAGATGCTCTATTTTAAGTATATCTTAATTTGAGTTAGATGGCATTTTGTAATTAAAGCTGTTCTGCTGCTCAAAGTTTTACCAGGAGCATCGTTTGTAAATTCCACTGTGGAAGCAGGGAATCCAGCAGTGTTTCTTTTTCACTGCAGCAGCTCTCTTCATTCAGTTGTGCAAGCGTTCAGTTTGGAACAGAATGGTACAATGAGCTATAATCTAATTGCTTATGGAGCTTTACTTAAAAAACACCCATCTGTAGAGCACAGATGATTAAGCATTACATGTGCCAAGATTGCATAGCTAATAGCCTGGTTTGCAGTGATGTGAAATGTAATTATATTACCATGAGCTATATTTTGACATTGCACTGCCTGTCTGCAAGCACCACAGACCATCATTAGCACGTGTGTGCAAGTGCAAGGTTTGTGTGTTGCTTGTAGGCTGCTGATAAGGAGATTTAAATGGCTCTGGTAAGATTCTTGCTTCAGGCCGAAGAACACAGTAGAAATTCATTCACATTTTCAATGTGCATAGTGTTGAATGACATGAACTAGAGGTAAAATGCATCATTCATATGTAAAGGATGATGTTGTGTAAAGCTGCCAAGGTCTGATAAGGGGCCTTGTGTGGAGGGCAAGCAAAGCTCTCACAGAATGGCTTCTCAATCTTACAGCAGTTGCTACATGGTGTTAAGTTATTGTGGTGGTTTCACTATAGAAAGTAGAATGTGTTTATGTGCAAAAAGATTGGCTTGTGGAACTGTAGACTAATCCTTGGGTTGCTGATTAGATAACTACCTGCACTCCCTGATTTGCCCTGACAGAAATTCAGAGTTAGTTTACCTTCCTTTTGAACAGTGGTTCTGCTCTATTCTCTTAATATGTAATGAAATATAATCAGAAGTAGATAAGCTGAAAGCATGGAGCTGGTAAAATACCATGCAGTTTTAACTCTTTACTGTATCTAGTCCTATCAGGGAGAATTGTCATTACACTGCCCTGGGCAAACTGATACGTGATTCCTGGGGTATGTCTATGTGCACATTCTCTCCTGGGTTGAGAATCCCTGTGAAGTTCTGGAGTGTTCTGTTCATGTTTTGCACAAACTAGAATCAAGAATGGTGAAAATTGACTTCTGGCTTAAAGAAACAAGATTAGGTGAGATAAAGTGTGAATTCACCCGTCAGTTACCAGCTGCCTGTGTACATGCTCTTCTTATTCCCAGCTGATACTGAGGGAGTTACATCAGGTTCTTGATCAAGCACTCTTTTGGGTACAAGCTTAGGTTTACTGATCCAAATTGCGTAGTCTTAATAAGAGGTTCCTTCAGATAAAACCTGGCAATGTAGATTTCTTACAGATAAATTAAGGATCTCTGCTTTTATCTCTTTTGTTTTTAGTGTTCCTTCTTTACTAATGCCACTCCCAGGTAATAAGACACTCTCATCAACTGATAAGTATGCTGTGTTTAAAGGAATTGCAGCTGAGAAGCCTTCTGAAAGTACCACTGCTTTTGGAGGTAAAAGGAAAAATACACAACCACTATAAGCAATTTATTGTAACATGTCATGTATCTTGTTTTTGGCATTGGTAAGATATTAGTATTTAAAATACAGAGCAATTATGCCAGTATAAAATTTGCAGTGTGGATTCATAATGCCTTTTTGTAAATGTGTTTCTTCTCTCATACTCACTAGATGGTGGAGACAAGTACAGTGCTTTCCGTGAATTAGAACAACCAGCAGAGAGCAAATACTTGGGTAAGCAAATACTGAGGTAACTTATGAGGGGTTGAGCTCTTCAACATATTCATTATATCTTTGTAGCAGTTCTCTCTGAGCTGCAGAATCTCCATTGCTGCAGTGCTAGAATAATGGTTCTTCTGCTTCCCTAAACAACTTAGCAGGAAGTATCCTGAAAAAATAGTGCAATATCCTATTGGAACAATGCACAAATTGTATGTCTAGAAGATTGGCATCTCTCCTGGGTGCTTTTGAATTTTTTTCTAAACTAATGCTATGGTTGGAATTCTTTCACTTTAAGTAAGGAATCATATATTCTTAGGAGACAGAATAAGATGCTTCTGGACAAAATTGCAACTTTTTTCTATTGTTAGGGCAGAATTTAAACTTTTCAGTCGCTGGTGCTCTAAGGATAAATCAAATCCCTTATATTGAAATTTGTGGTTAACTGGTTTTGATTGGGAAAAGTAAAACCTGGGTGGTATCTGAGGTACAGCGTCTGTGTCATACAAAAGCAGAGTCTTCTTAAGCCTTTACCAGAACCATCTATGTCTAACTCATTTATGCAATAGGAGTGATAATATTGTCTTTTAATCAGATGAGGAAAACAATCTCCAACTCTACTTTCATATAGTATCAATAGACAGATGAGTAGGTAAACGAATTACTAACTTAACCTGACTTCACAGATTTATGTTGTACCCAGCATTTTGTTTCATTATTAGAAAACAACTTTAGATTCTAGGATAAAACTTCTTACCTGAGTTCACTCCTAATCTTTATTTGTCACAGGCAGAATTCTGTTCAGACACTGAGTTTCTGTAATGAACTCCTGTAATGTTTTGGGAGGTTCTCATGCTTAGTACCTCTTCAGGATTAAATGCACGTAATGAAGTGAAACAACATTTTATCTCTTTTTATCTCATTTTATCTTCATACATGTTTAAACATACAGAAAATGACTGTATTTGCCTGTTACCCAGCTCTGACCACTCTTAACCCTTTCACCAGCTTACATTTCTAATGGAAAAGTTTGCAGTTCAGCAGTAAGTGTAGTTTGCTGTGATGTGTTAGTTTTGAGCAATGAATAGCAATTCCATGAATAGTTGTATTGTTGCTGGGCCAAGTGAATTGACTTGGAGGGGAGGGAGAATGGAAGCATGTGTCAGGTATAGTCATAGTCCTGTACTACTGGTATAAAGTTATAAAGACTATTCTTTTAAGTCTTGGTTAAACACTGGTGCTGAAGAATTAAATGTTAATGGTGTGCTTCTAAAGTAAACCAAAATCTGTTTATTGGACACTTGTCTTAAAGCATGCTCAATACTTTAAATGACAAGTAGTCTATGTACATGCTGGTGAATGGGTTAAACAATGTTTTTCATGTTCAAAAGAAATGGCTTTATAAAATTGTGTATGAACAGGAAAAAACTTACAAAATCAGTACACCAAAATATTTATGTCAATTCAGTGAAAATATGGTTACCTAATGTTTAATCAGGTTTAAATTACAATCCTTACATAGCATGATCTTACACTCAGTGGGTAGCTGAACTAGAGAGTGGCACATCTTAAGATTAATCGTGCTCACTTTCATGTGAAAGTGTCTCCAAGCTTCTTAGTAAAGCTGGAATCAGTCTTAGCAGGAGCTGGGAGGTGCCTGGGTTATATTGTATTTACTGAAGTTCTGCTCACACACTCTACAGTATGTTTAGGTGAATCTGGCTTCAGGGAAACACGATAGATTAGAATGAGAGCCTAAAAATGTCGTAACCCTCTGCTGACATCCCATAAAGAAACTGCAGGTGGGCAATCTTTTGAAGGGAGGGGGGAAAATTGCTTCTGTAAGAAAGCAAATACTGAATTGATGTAAGTGAAATTCAGGATTACATCCCTTGCTTGGCAAAGATGAGGATGAGGTGGGAAAAAGAACATACGTGGGAGCTGAATAAGACAGATCACCTTTTGCATCTGTTGGTCAAGGTGTGTTTTGATATTAACTCAGTGTAAAGGGAGTGTCATTGTGACTTTGAGGCTGTTTGAAAGACATAAGTGTTTGCTGGAATGACTGTTAGAATTGCTGACCTTGAAACCTGTGGGGGTCACAGAAGTTGAATTTGCAGTTCTAGGTCTTAATTTAAATAGTTTGCATAAAGACTTCTGACATTGCATGAACTAATTTGCTTGCTTGCTTGCATGGTGTGAGTGTGATGTATTTGTTGTCACTGCAGTGACTTAATGATTGTTTCCTCTTTGTTTTGCTCTCAGGAGATAACCTTGCAGAGTTCAAGCCTGCAGGATCCGATGATGGTTTCACCGATTTTAAAACCGCTAACAGTATCTCACCATTAGAGCCACCTACAAAAGACAAAACGTTCCCCACATCCTTCCCTTCTCTGCCCGTTCAGTCCAAACAGCAAACACAAGCAAAGACCTCTTTGAATCTAGCAGACTTGGATCTCTTTTCCTCTACTGGAGAAAACAAGCAGCCATCCTTTCCACCCGCATTTAACACGTCAAAATCGGGCTCCTTTCCTCCACCACCCCTTCCAGCTACCACTGCCCAACCAGCACCCAGCAAAAGTTCAAGCTTAGCTGATGACTTTGGAGAGTTCAACCTTTTTGGGGAATTTTCTAACTGCTCATCAGCCAGTGGACAAGATGACTTTGCAGATTTTATGGCTTTCAACAATAGCAGTGGCTTTTCCGAACAGAAACCAGATGACAAATACAATGCACTTAAGCTGGAGCCTGGTCCTGTTCCTCAGCCTGGCTCCTCTGCCAGCACGGTGAAGAGTGGGCAGAGTTCTGCCCCCACTGCTACACCCACCAAATACGATATCTTCAAACAGCTTTCTCTGGAGGGCTCTGGAGGAGGCTTTGAGGAGGCGAAGGACAACGCGCTTTCTTCGGCGAAGAGCGATGATGATTTTGCTGACTTTCACTCTAACAAGTTTTCTTCCACGTGCAACAGCGCAGAGAAGTCCCTGGTGGACAAAGTTGCAGCTTTCAAGCAGGCCAAAGAAGACTCTGCTTCAGTGAAGTCTCTGGATCTTCCTTCCATCGGAGGCAGCAGTGTTGGCAAGGAGGATTCTGAAGACGCGTTGTCTGTTCAGTTTGACATGAAACTGGCTGATGTGGGAGGAGATCTTAAGCATGTCATGTCTGATAGCTCTTTGGATTTGCCAACAGTTAGTGGCCAGCATCCACCAGCAGCAGGTGAGGAACTGGTTAGATTGCTCTGGTAATGTAGGTGGTGGAGGTTTCAGTGTTCTGTGTGCTAAATTGCAGTATTATGCACTGGTCTTTCAGTAGTGAAAGACTTCTCAGCCTGTGTACCCGCTAGCCAACAGCCCCTTGGCAGGGCAGCATTTCTTTCTTGTCTTAGGAGACTATAAATAGACTGAACAGTTTGAACTCCAGGCCAGTTTATTTTTGAGATTTGACATCATCATACTGCTGGTACCTGTCAGCTATTGTCACTTAAGGGATTTGAGTGGAACATTTTCCAACGCAAACGATGTCATTCCATTTGCATTAGCAAGAGGGATGGCAGAGTCTCACTTTAATCTCTTGGATTCAGCAAAGCATTTGGCTTGGGGACTTCACCCTCTCTGTGCTTCTACAAGGGTAGGCAGAACACTAATTTGTGCTGTTAATAAATTAAGCTCTTTAATCAACACCACAAGTATATCCCCAGTACCGTGGGGCTTAACTTCTGCAGCCAGTATTTTGCAGGACTGCAGATACAAGTATTGTAGAATTAAATCCCTCACTGGACTCCTCGTGCAAAGGGCCTGTAAGTGCTACTCTCATGATTGGTGACTCCAAAACCTAAATTTAAAACCATAGGCTTTTATTTGTCAGGTTTTCACCTTCTTTAATTCCCCCGTGTGAAAGTCCTCCTGAGGGAGTGACTTGACCAGCTCCGATCCAATCACGTATCATCAAATACCCCAAGTGTCCTGCTTTGTCTTTTCATGTGTACATAGGAAGGTGAGATGTAGTTAAATGTTCTGTGGCCTTCAATAATACTGGAACCATTACTGTGTTTTAGCAACAAGTATTATGCAGTGAGAGGCTTTTCTGAGCATGGGGGGAGCGTACAAACTGTAACTGTAAAAGCTGTTACTGCAAGAATTGGTTATTTCCATATGAAAGATTTCTTCCATTTTTGCAGATAGTGGGTAGAGAAAAATACACAGTACTGTAGTTTTGCATTCTGTGGTACTTTTAAGTAGGGGAGAGAGTTAAGTTGGCAACTTTGATGTGGAATATGCTCTCTAACAGGGTACAAAATATCAGGAATAATTTATTAGCAAAGACATTTAATTTTCCTATTACTGCTTGGTACAATTCCAAGTCGGGTGAGCTGTCAAACGTAGCACCTCCAGTGTGGTCTTGAATGTTTACTTTGGTTTTGAAAGCACTTTTTCCTAGTATTTTTCTAGCCTCTTTCGGTGGTAGTTTGACTTCTGTAGCTCTTCTACAGGACGTGAGCTTTTGCCACAGAAATCAGTGATGAATAATTGCCGTTTGTGGCAGGACAGACTCTTTCTGGTTTGTTTAAAGGGGTTGGCCGATCATGTGCTTGTTGCTGAACTTTTGAACTCTGAAGTATTAATTAGAAGCTATTTTTATTGAACTTCAACAAGTCTGTATTCTCCTCTGGTGCCAAGTGAGGTGTTTTTCCATAGGGAGAGTTTTACTCCATTTAGCTCTGTTTGGATTTCGTAGCGGAGCGTGCTCCGGCCGACCCGTTACGAATACTTGTGTGCTCACGTGTTCCTTTCTGTGTGTTTGATGCATTTCAAGCTATGAACTGCTGATGTTCAAGCCTTTTTTTTTTTTTTTTCAGTTTACAGAAAGTTAAAAAGCAGATTTCTTTTTTCCCCTCTTAATTTTCTTCGATCTGTAAATCTAATGTCAAAAAGGGACAGTATCCCTTTGCCATCCTCGCTGCTGGGACTAGTCATTGGGAGCTGTATGTCTGCAAGCACCGTGTAACATCCCCAGTGAAACAGCAGCAGCACAGAGGTGCTGATAAATGATTTGACTTTTCTGACACACTCACACAGAGGTCTTTATCCTTTGGCTATTGAGATTTCATGTTGTGTAGCTTCCAGGTATGGGCAGGTAGGTTGCTTATGCTGGGAATTAGAAAGAAATCACTGAGTTGCTTCCCAGACTTTGGTCTCTGAGGGAAGAAAGGTTTTCAGTTTTGCTCTGTCCAAAGGGGATACAGTCTCTTTAAACTTTGCTATAATTCTTTGTGTGGAAGGTAGATGATACTAATGTTGCCTGATTTCTCTTGCATTTACTTCGTATAACCCTTTGAGCACTGGCTGCATGCTGTTAGTTTCAACCAGGCTGCTTCTTTTAAGCCAAATTTATGTTTCCCTCTGAAACAAAAGTCACATGAACCTGATTTATTCTGTGTCCTGCCAAATGTTGCAGCGAGAACATACCCTCACAGGGGTATTCTCAAAGGGTTATCCATTTGCTGCACTTACCAATCTGTAAAGTACCTTTTTCTTTGGCATTATTGGAGATCTCTGTATATTTTAATCAACTTCAGGTTTTTTGCTGCTTTTCTATTGTCTGATTTCAACTAAACATTTCCTGTGTGAATGTGCCTTTTCAGATCTGCTTTGATATCTCTCTTCTGCAAGTATTGACCTGCATGCTTTATTCTGATAACGCCCTTCCGAGCTCCTATGTATCACTATCTTTTGTGATCTGTAAGTCCTGCTGTGTTAATAAATATTATCTTGGCATATTTTGAACACGTGGGGATGTGTGTGATTTGTTGCAAACAGCAATGTTGAAAAATACAAAGTTTAAAGTCATAGTATCCCCTTAAGCTGGCGGGTGCCTTTCTCTTGCAGAGCAGCGTATGGGTGAGTTTCTTTGTCCTCTTCCAACGCTCTGACCTCGCTCCCTGTACACTTCTGAATCTTCACCTATCAGGCTGAATAACATTTGTCAAAAGAGCAGGTTTGGAGAGGGGTTGAACAGAGGAAATGTGTGGCTGGCAGAGTTGTTGCTGTGCGTTGGTTTCAGGGTATGGTGTTAGTACGGACTGAAGACAGAGAATGTTTTCTCTGTCCTGTTGTCTCCTCATCTGGATTTCCCTGCTGCCAGCCAAGGTAAATCTTTGTGAAGGAGACCAACTGGAATATGTTTTGCTATCTAGGCTTTTATGAGTAGGAGCCCATTAAACAATATTCAGTTATTTATTTAGCTAATCTAAAGAGAGTTAACCAGTGTCCCAAAGTAAAGCACTCTGTTTCCTTTTTCTGTTTGGGAAGTCCTGCCTAACTAAACATTGAAGCTTCCAAACATGAATGACAGCTAACTTTAAAAAAGAAAACCCCAAAGCAACACCCTCGTCCATTCTGGAGAACCAGTAGGTTATGTCTACCCCTAAAGCTTTTTAAACTGAAGGCTTGAATATAAACCTGAGAGACTTAATTCTGCAGGGCTCGTGCTGTTTGTGTTTGTTCAGCTAATCATACCTGGAGGAGGGAGACTGATGTTTATGACTAGTCTTTCTTACATTTTTGTCCAGACTTGACAGTCAAATTCACTCACTTGCTCTCATTTATTATAGTTCTGGAAATAGAAGAGCTTAACAACACTTATTTATCCTGTGAAGACCTCTGACAGAGAAAGGTGTGTGTGTTCCTGAACACCTTCCAAGCAGTCACTTCTGCGGGACCGAGCTGCTCTGTCTCCTCTTCCAGTGCAAGCTCAGGGGGTCTTGATTTTGATGGCAAATGTTGTTTATCATGATATTTAAACCATAACTAACAAATTCTTTAATTCCATATGGTTTGAAGGATTTTCTCTCTTTTTTCCTTCATTTTAATTTATCTGACAGTTGGCAGTCTTGATGATTTCTACCTTAGCAGCGCCAAATTGCTGTTCTTTAGCAAAAGTGAATTGGGTTAACTCCCTTATCATTAATGCTGTTCCTGACTTCACCAGATGGGCCTGGGATTTTTCTGATGGCCGATAGGCATGACACACAGATGGCAGCAGTGCATACAGGCCTCTATTCTTCCAGGTCACATCTCCACTTTTACCAGGGGATGCCTCACTGGAAGCACTAAGGAGGTGGTGCCCATCCCCATCCAGTCTCTGGACTTCTTCCTTGGACTGCTGGTGATGTTCCCAGTGTAACAGCTCTGGGTGTTCTGCTATGAAGAGAACTAACCACCACCTGCACACCCCCAACAGAATCCCAGCCTGATTTGGGTTGGAAGGACCTTAAAGCTCATCTGGTTCCAACTCCCTGCCACGAGCAGGGACACCTTCCACTAGAGCAGGTCGCTCCAAGCCCCTGTGTCCAACCTGGCCTTAAATGACACAAGAATTATATTTATTCATTAGCATTTCATATAAACTGAAATGTAAAGGCTGAAAGTCTCCCATCCTGGTTAAAACCACTACATGGAGCACAATCTTCTGAATTGTCTTTTCCAGTTTTCTTTAGAATATCACTAACACTGTCAAGGGTTTTCCTTAAATGATTAAACTGTTGCCACTGAAGCCTCCAGCTTGTAAATTGCCTCCAGCCATAACTTAATCTGTGGTTGCTGAAATAAATTGTTGTAGTTGGCTCAAATGAAGGATGTCAAGTTTTCCTGTTAGATGAGATAACACTGGGAAACAGTGTTATAACTGTATTTCAGCCTGTCAGTATTCCCTGTACATTCCTTGGCAGTTCTTGCTTTGCCTCTCCCCAGCACTGGTATGGCTGGCTTCTAGTTATCCCCAGGCAGGTTGGACTATGGCTTTGGTGGTTCAAAAGGGGTGGGAAGTAAGTGGTAAATATTTCAAACCTCTTGCTTTGGAAGAAACACAAATTGGGTTTGGTTTCTGAGGCTTTTGGAAAGCTGCTGCACTCCAGCATGGCACAGTGAAGATCACTTTTTCCATTCTTGGTCCATTAGAAAATAGTTTTAAGGGGGGAAGAAAGTGTGGTTATGTTGTATGTGAACGGATCTGACTTTGGTTTTTACAGGGACACGTGCACCCATCCCTCCCTGCCCCATCTAGAAGTGATCTGAGCATTAATACCCAGTGTATTTAACCTGGGGGGTGTTTCATGGTCTCACCAGTGCAAAGCTGACGGTGCTAATGACACGTGGCTTTATTCTGAGTAAGAGCTTTTGGGTTCTGATAACAAAACTAAAATCTCTTGTTATTTCTGAAAGACAGCACAGAATTGCTGCCGAGATTACTAAGGAATGCTGTTTTATGATGATCTATTTCACTGAAATGTATTGATACATCTCCTGGGGTAGGAATATAGGATTCCAAAAGCATGATCAAGCCAAGATTTGCCCTCCTTCGACAGGAATTTGCTGTATGCTCTCCAAAAGAAGCTAATTCAGAAATCACTTCTAACCTCTCAAAAAAAGATGGCACGTCCCCAAACCAAAGCATTTCATAGAATTTTGAATTCGATGCTTCTCATCAGTTCAGATTCTGTTCTTACTAAAAGTGTCCTCCAGGAGGAAATGGTGGTAGCTCCGTAGCATCTCTCTTCATCAAGTGGGATGCTTAGTTAGAAGTAATTAATTGTAATCATCTCTTGCTTTGCAATAATATTACTGATGCCCATGCATCTGTCCAAGTTCTGAACTGCCATACCAGCAAAAGGAAGCTTTTATTCCACCAGAGGCTGGAAGTGCAGCATTGTAACCAGAGCTCTTTTATTCATCACACATACCTGGGCTCTTTAAGAAAAAGGCTGTTGGAGGAGCAGTTCTTAACACTGCTTTGTTATAGCAAAAAGAGTGTTTTATTAAGATACCCACATCACGAAGAGCTCTCTAGGGTCAGCCAAGGAGTGCTTTTCACATATAAACTGCTGCTTCACTTATTAGTCTGGTGGCAAGTTGCTCTGCTGCCTGGCGGGGGGAAAGCTCCTCTCTTCATTATGCAGCAGAGGTGCCATGAGCTCAGATAAACCTTTAGCTTTGCCTTCGCTGTGGCAAGGGTTATGATTTTACTTCCTCTGTTCCAAACCATCCAGCCTGTGGGAAACAATTCTCTGAAGTGCAGGGCACAGCACAGCAAAATGTTGGGTTTTTTCTCAGTAGAATAAAAACTGATGAAAACCAACCATTTATCTTGGATTATGGACAGTTCCACGTTCTTATGTTTGATGCTTTTCAATAAATGGCTTTAGCACTGTGTTAGCTGTAAACCTTTTGTCTCTGAACACAGTGTTTTTCCTGTAATATAATGCTTTTAGGAAAGTTTATTCACCAGAGTAATCCTTTAATAACTATCCAGATAAATGTACTGAGTTGATCTGTGACATTTCATCTCAGCCCTTGCACCTGTGCAGATGGGTTCCACATCTGCATGAATTCACCCACTGAATCTTGGCTCTTCGTGTGTAAATAACTGAAATCCTGTTCTGCCTTCCCTGCCACGACCTGCTGATTCAGGACTTCCACTTCTGACCCTGCCTGTCCCTGAGCCGGGATCAGGTCAGGGGTACACCGACCTGGTCTTTCAGGATGGGTTTTCAGCTCACTCTTCCCAGTTATTAAAGAAATAGGATGTGAATGTGCAGGTCTTTGCAGTAGGGTCATCGCTCTCTCTTTGCGTTTCTCTTTGAGCACGGAAACAACCGTGATGCTTAAATCTTTGCTGGGTTTTGGAGTCAACACAAGCTGGAAGATAAAAAGAGGCTGCCTCGTACACTGTGGTGTTCTCAGGATCCCAGGATTAATTACAGTTGGCTAACATTTTGGAGGTTATTCTGGCACTGCCTTTAATGCTAATGAAGCTTTCATGTCACTTCTTTAAACAAACCCGTATGTTTGAGAGCACAAGGTGTGGTTTCTTGTGATAAATTACTGATCCCCTGCAAGTCAGCTCCTTTTCACCCCAGAGCCTTCCTCCTCTTCAGTGTTGCCACAAGCAGGTGATTTCATCTCCCGTCTGCTTACGCTTCCCTAAGCTGCTTGCTCTACACATTTAATATTCGAGTGGCACTTTGAAACCTTGCTGCCTCCATGTGAGGTGTGAAGGTTTGTTATTGACGTGCTGTCATGTGCAAATGCAGCAGCTGCAGGAAGACTGTCCCTTAGGAAGATCCGATAGGCACTGTGCTGTGCCTCGCTGGCCCCTTGCAAAGGGCCTTTTATTGCCGTAGCCATTAAACTCCATCATTACATTGTATATTTTAGGGATTTTTAATTAGCTCTGTATGTGGGTCATGCCTGGAAAGCAGCCTAAAGCACAGTGTGCTCCCCCCTTCCAGCAAAATGAATAAATGAAGGCAGAATTGTTTAACAAAACGGCTTAATCCTCAGGCTGGGGTGGCCAGATTGACGAAAGGCTGGTAAATCAGCTTGTTCCCACCCGGGCTGGGTGCAACCCGAGTTGCTGCTGCCATGTGCCAGCCAGTTCAGACCAGAATGTTTATCTGAAGAGTCTCGGCTAAAACAGTGCAAAGACAATGTATTTTCTGGTTTGGGTTTGCTTTACCTCGAGCCTATTTGGCCGCAGGCACTGAGCCGCGGCTGAACGTCTAATGCAAGCTGACAATTGGTAATGCTGGAAAACAGATGCCAAATGTAGTAGAGTAGAGGTTGGTTTGTTGGGGTTTTTTTAGTGCTTTAATGAAAACCACCCAGCCCCTGGCTCTCTGTGCCTTCACTATGGATCAGTCTCAGGCTTAAACAGGAAAGATCAGTGAATGAGTAGCGGACAAAGCCCAGCAGACCCTGGTCACTGTGCAGGCTCCTTTGCTGGCTCTAATGCAACCAGGTTATATCTCATACCTGCTTATGGCAGTGAGAAGAACCTATTGGCCCATATGATTGCCAGGTGAGTATGAATGTTTGGAGCTTTCTGCAAAATACCTGGATTTCTCTGTGTTTACTAGTTTGTAAAAGCTAAACCACGACCTTTGCAATATTCATGTCATGTAAGTTGGCCGCGCAGCGCTGCAGTAACTGAGATTAGCAAGGGGTTTGAAAGTTCATGCAGCACGTTTTTTACACATTAATTTTACTTCATGCTTTGATACAAATACAGTGCATTAATGCTTTATTGGAGGGAATGGGAAGTTAGCCCAGTCTTCTGTGTGGCTGGGTTTGGTAAGATGAAATAACACGTTAAGATGTTTGAGTTGCTCATGGTTGAATTTAGATCATGGATTGTGCAGCCAGCATCAGAGAACTGAACCAGTGATCTGTGCACTCTGTACTGTCTAGTTATTTTATTAGTGTTTCTTCACTGCCTGTAGTGGGATGGTGACTTTCAGCTTAAAATATAAGACAGCATTCAAAGGTCAAGGCTCACGTTTATTAAATGGAAGGGCTTTTTACCAAAGGCTTAGGTATTTTTCAGATGATTTTTGTGCAAACTCTAGTTTAAGCCTCACTGGAACAACAATTCACTCTGTGTGTTCTTGCAGTTCTTGAAGACCCTGAGCAAGTTGCTGTTGTTTTTATACAATGTACAGAGATTTAACGTTTGAACTTCAGCTTCTAATTGTAGGGGTTTGTTTTTCTCAGATATAGATGACTTAAAATGTGCCCCATTTGGAAGCTATAACAGTGGGTCTGCAGTCAGCAGCCTGGCAAGCTATGACTGGTCCGACAAAGAAGACATTCAGCAGGGCAAGAAGCTCTCCTCCTTAGTCCAGTCTTCAGGAAGTGGATCCTCTGCGGCTACTTCTGTCCTTCAGAAGAAGGAGACCTTGTTTGGCAGTTCAGAAAACATTACCATGACAACAGTTTCCAAAGTGACAACCTTTTCTAGCGAGGATGCTTTACAGGATGTTTCCTTTGCAGCCTTTGCAAGCTTTAAAGACCCCATTTCCAGTGCTCTGGGTGAGGATGACATCGGAGACTTTGGTGATTTTGCAAGACCTCCACTGGAAGCACAGGATGCGGCAGCTGACACAAACCAAGAGGCAGATTTCCCTGGTGGTGGGGTCTCCTTGGAGCTGCGAAGAGAGTCCACAGATGACTTTGGAGAGTTCCAAAGCGAGAAGCCAAAAATCAGCAAGTTTGACTTCTTGGTGGCCACTTCCCAAGGCAAGGTGAAATCTAGCGAGGAGATGATCAAGAGTGAACTGGCTACTTTTGACCTGTCTGTTCAAGGTAAGTGTGCTCAGGGTGGAGGACGCTCACGATGCACGTGCTTATCAAAGACGGGGTTTTCTCATCAAATTACAAATTAGCTGATGGGGATTGCTCCAGTGGCTACTGGAAATGAGCTGAATCTCTCATTGATTTTTGTGATATTTGGACATCTTCGTTCTAGATCTAAAGTATTTGTTATGCCAAAACCTGTGAAAATTGAGGAGCTGGGGAAATTTGCACCAGTCACCGATTAAACAGAAAGCTTTGTTCTTCTGTAGTATTAGGGCAATCCTTGATGCCAGTTTATTCCTTTTAAATAGCCTGTGCCTTTATGCATAAAGGAAAAACTTGTTTATAACTTCACTTTTTAGGGTCTCATAAAAGGAGCTTAAGCCTCGGAGACAGAGAGATAAGTCGCTCTTCACCTTTACCAGTCTTGGAGCAGCCATTCCGAGATCGTTCAAATACTCTAAGTGAGAAGCCTGCTTTGCCTGTCATCAGAGACAAATACAAAGACTTGACTGGGGAAGTTGAGGTAAGGAGTTACCTGGGATACAAGTAAATTGGCAATGACTTTCATCAGTGTGGCATCGGGGTGTTCTGTATCTAACTGTGACTTTCGCTGGTTGAACTTGGGGTGTGATTCTAAGGCACAATCTGGGTAAGGTTAGATGTTTTCACTGGAAACTCCTCATAAAGGAGGCTGCTTCTCTCCTATTCTTTGTGTCTGGTGAAGTGGGAGAAGTGCTGTTGCCTGAAACTCAGAATCACTTGACCTTGCAGTCTAAGCCTGTAACTTGAAATCAGTTACAACTTGAATCTAATTCCCATTTTGGCACTGAGACCATTGGCTTTGGGAAGTGGTTTAACTTTTTTGGCTCTGAGGTAGTTATTTCTCTTGCTTATCTTGAGACTAGATGGTATAAGGACTCAGATTAAATTCTGCTAATCTAGAACAGCAGACCTGTAACAAATGTGTTGGGAGTAGGTATGTGCAATGCAGACCTTTTACCCATTCATCTGTGTTCTTCCTTTTGAAACTAGTTAAGACTCCCAGAAACCACGTTTTAGAGTTCAGGTGCAAAGAGAATATTTAAAGAATGGGGGGAAAAATAGGAATAGGTCTGTTAGAAGCTTACATAGCTGCTCTGCAAATAGTCTCTTAAAATACCTGTCTACTGTGTGTCTGTTGTGATAGGAGAAAGAGAAATGTAGGAACAAGATTGAGACTGTCCTTTTCTTTCAAACAGGAAAGTGAGAGGTATGCGTATGAATGGCAAAGATGCTTGGAGAGTGCCCTGCAGGTAAGTGCACAGCCTCCTCCAAAACCCTTCCTCCTTCCTGTAGGTACCACCTTGCCCACTGTTTAAGGCCATACAGGCATAGAAAAGGAGGGGAATCAGCCCTTTTTAGAAGATTACAGCTTCTAAACCCAAAGCTGTCATGCAGCAGAAGCGTTACTCCCTCACTTAAATATCCTGTCCTAATCTCCCTGTCAGTTGTGATTACTTTGGCTTTTGCCTGCAATTACAAGTTAACCAGTTACTGTGGTGGTCCTGTGTTGGGTGCCTTGTTCAGGGCACTGGTACCAGCACCTGGCTCATCAGCTCTGCTTGAGAAACAGGCTTGGGGCCATTCACAGCCACCTCAGTGTTCCTTAAAATCTCTTCTTTGCATTTGTGTATCAGCCAAAGCTGTGAATGCTGCTATTAAACTAGACAGCAATGCATGTAACTCTTCAAACTATTATTCCAGTAATGAAAAGATTTGGGGGAATACATTAAGGTTTTAAATGTTCATATTTTCCCCCGATCTACTTACAGTTATAGCTTGAATACATAAAAACATGTGATGGAGTATGGCAATCATTTATTTAATTTGCCTCCTTTTTTTGCATAATGGCTTCTGTTGGGGACAATCTTGTTGGTAATAATTATTTTAAGGTAGATAACACCATCATCTTATGAAATTCATTTCCACCAGGTCATAAAGAAAGCAAATGATACCTTAAATGGAATCAGTAGTTCATCTGTTTGCACTGAAGTCATCCAGTCTGCCCAAGGCATGGAATATTTACTAGGTATGCTTTAATCTACCATGTCTCTTACACTGAAAGTTCTCCTCTGGAAAAACAGCAATACATAATCACTCTTTCCAAAATAGTATCATTTCTTACCTTAACCTTTGCCTGCACCTACATAACGAACAACTCCTCTGCTAAATAAATCTACTACTACTGTGAAATACTTGTCCACGACCACCTTTTGTGTGCCTGTTTTGTGCTATTTCTGAGTTAAAAGTTGCAGGAACCTGTGCTCACGGTGAATTCTCTGCAATCCTCCACTGTGTTTTATGTCAACAGGAGTTGTTGAAGTCTACAGAGTCACAAAGAGAGTTGAATTGGGTATCAAAGCAACTGCTGTTTGTAGTGAGAAACTCCAGCAGCTCCTGAAGGATATTGATAAAGTGTGGAACAACCTGATAAGCTTCATGTCACTTGCTGCTTTAACGGTAAGACCCAAAATAAGTGATGTCTTTACTAAAAGAAATGCCATAATTATACATAAAGTGACTTCATGGGGTGCTCTAACTTTACAGTTTGTGCTTTTCTCTTGCAAAACGGCCATTTGTGAAATCCAATTTAAAGCTCTCTGTAAGAAAACACCATGTCTGTACATAAATAAGAGTTCTCTTAGTGTCTTAATGATTTAGGTGGTATTCTGTGTGTCTGTGGACCTCTCCAATAAGGGAAATTTAGTAAAATTGAAGCTATTTTAGGAAGCCAGAATAATGTGGACGTACTTTGTCTTTGTAATATCCCTGCAATTAGTTTTAATAGTTTTAATATTCACAAGAGCACACTATGTAGCAACACAGGAATAACTAAACTGTTATTTTGAACTGCTTCCCTTCTCTCTGCTTTTGGAAATGCCCAAGTTTGTTTTGGTTCATGCTACAGACTAAATACCTTTCCCTCCTCTGAATAGAACTGCCAGAAAAAGCTCAGTTGCTCTGAGACAGTCTGGTAGGAGCCTGAGAGCTTTCTGCATAACTGGGTGAGTGTTACAAGGAGAGGTGGTGAGGGGCTGTCTCCTTATAGAGGCAGCATCCCATGGGAAGGGGCTGCAAAGGGACTGGGACAAAGAGGGGCACACTGGGGCCAGACACAGAATAAATGCCATTAGAAGGGAAGGAAATCACCTTGCCACTAAATGCCTTGCACATTTTTGTGTATGTATGTTGCAGGAAATACAATGTGCAAAATAGCTTTTTTTTATCCATGGTAAAACTCCTGGTTTTAGGGAATCATCCATCTGTAGGTGCTTGATACCATCTTGCATAAGGGATCCCTTTAACTCAGGATATACCTAAGGAGTCTTTAACTCTTAGTATCAGCACATCACACCAAGCATCAATAAGCAGATCACTATCATGGTTATGTTTTCACTGACCATGTTAATTTGTGGCTTCCTTCTTGCAATGCAACTCTGGCTTCCCAGTAAACACTCATTTATAAGCAAAGGCCAGAGTACTTGGTTTCTGCTTGAAAGACCCATCTTCAGCTCACTGTCACTCCCTGCCAAACAGGTATTAGAGGTGATCAGTCCCTTTTTACACACCTTTTACCCGTCTTAGCCCTCTCCGTTACAAACAGCTCTGGCAAGCAGGTATTTTTGGTGCTGTTCTGTGTTGCACAAAGCCTGTCATGAGCTGAAATTGATGCTTTCACTATATTACTGCTTGGCAGGTGAAGTTTGATAGACTGGGATTCATCTCTTTCAACTCTGGCACTGTTGACAGGTACAATCTAAAAAGCTACCAGGATCCTCTCCTGATTTAAGCAAGTGGATTAAAATTTAGTTCTTAAAGTGCTTTTCCTTGGAAGATTACAGGGATTACCTTGAAGTCCAAAGCTCGGCCACGTGTTCCCCGAGCTGCAGCAGCAGATTTTAAGCATAGTAGGAGCTGTGAGCAGTGACTTCTCTTACACACACTTTACCTCTGAAGTTACTTAACAGACAGGAACTCCTCACTCCTCCAGTTCTCACAATCACCCTTCTTTGCTCCTCTCCTGCACGGGGTCACTGGAAGGTATGGAACCCACACCTGGTGTCCCTGTCACGGATCCCAAATGAGGCAGAAGTGCCAATTAAATAGAAGTATTTTAGCTCAGAGGCATGTGCTGGGAAAGGTTAATTTTGCCTTTTAAAGGATTTTGTTACAAGGTAATTTTCTGCAGAGCCTTGTGGTTTTTCAGTGCAAATTAGAGGCTGACCTTCTCATTTGCTTCACTGGTGCATCTGGTAAACAAATATTAGAGTGCCTTTATTAATTTGATTGATCTACTTAAAGATTAAAGGGTGTTTTCTTCAGGATTCCAATTATTCTCCAGCCCTTCAGCAGGGGAGCGTGGTCAGCATAGCAGGAGTGTGGATTAAGAGTACACATGTTCTAGGATCACACCATTTGTTTAAGCTTCTTGCACCTCTAGTCACTGTTTTCGTCTGCACTATCAGAAAGCAAAACTTCAACATTTTTGTACCATCCTTATGCAGAGTTTTAAACTATGATTTATCTTGTGGCTGAAATGTAAGTGGAAAAGGGACTATAGTATTTGATTACTTATTTGCAGGGTTATTCTCCCATGCTTTGCCTCTCTTTAACCTGAGCTTGTGTATGGCTGGTGACCTTAATTCTTCTATGGTTTGGTTAACCTTAATACTTTGTACTTCTGTGCCATATTCCAGATTCAGAAATAACCTTAGGAAAGAATAACAACTGCCCCTTTTTGATCAGGCAATGACACAGAGCCCAGGACAATAAACACCAGCACAGACACCACTTCAAATGTGAACAGTGAAAGCTGTGCTGGCCCATGCCTGCTCTCCTTGCAGCTGCACAAATAGCTGTTGCATTCCACTGTTTATCTTCGTCCAGGTCTTAATACACGAGTTGAACTGGAGCAGCCGCCGCCTGGGCTCTCTCCTCAGAAGTTTCTTCCCCTTTTGATGTGGGAATGTGGAACTTAAGAACTCTTTCCTTTGTAGTCTAACCCTTTCTTCGGGAGCTTGAGTGTTATAAATTAATGCTGGTGGAGATTGCATGGCAGGATTGCAAAGACATACTAATGACTTCGATTAAAACCGTGCAGCAGTTTGTGCAGGAATGTGTTAGGTCAGCCCTGCTGTGGCTCTTGGGAGCAACCAGATTGATAAGTTTTATCATGGTGTCTGAAACGTTTTCAGTCACTTAATGCCTAAATTTCATTGTCTCGTTTCTTCAGCCAGATGAGAACTCACTGGATTTCTCTTCTTGTATGCTGCGTCCAGGGATTAAAAATGCCCAAGATCTTGCCTGTGGAGTGTGCCTCCTAAATGTGGATTCAAGAAGTAAGGTAAGTAGAGCAGCCTATCCTGTTAAACTCAGTTTTAATTGGCAGTTTGGACTTTCATTTAGGCCTCGGGTGTATTTAAAATGTTTTCATGGCTATAATTTATAACTGGAAGTGGAAAAGGCAAAATCTGACCTATAGATGAGACTCAAATAGTCCTGTGTTCACTGGGTTTTGGGTATGACACCGATGTGGATAAAGGGTTAAATTGTTCACAGAGGGGGAATACTGGGAAACTGAGACTTTACAAGTGTATACATATATGTATTTTCAATAGAACTCCTTTCGTGACTTTTCTTTATGCAATGCATCTCTGAGGCTCACCAGGAGGGGACTATTGCACTTAGCTGGGAGGGAATCCCAGGATGTGTACAGAGTTAATGCCAACCCATTAACATACACGGGCAGTTCTGCTGACTTTTTGGTTTCAACGTTATTTCAGAAAGAAGAGAAACCTGTGGAAGAGCTCCCTAGAAAAGTATGAACCTGTAAAAACATATTCTCTATAGAATCATTCTTAGTTGAGTGTGGGAGGCTGAACTGGCTTTCAGCTGTCATTCTCAATTGTATCAATCATTAATCCTTTTCTTCTAGTCATCTTTTGTGACCGTAACACTTGATCTGATCAACTAACATGCTCTAGAGCCTCCCCTTTGTCTTGTCTGCATGCTTGTATCTTGTGAATAGCTTCCTGGTTTTGTGCCTCTTCTGTTGTGTGGTAGAAAATGCACTGCAGTGAGTTTCTGAATTTGTAGCTGCCTGTGTGTCTGTTGCAGGAGAGGGGGAACTGGAGGGGGTTTTTGCTACAAATATTGACTTTTGGCTATATGTAGCAGGCAGTGGCATTTTTAGCAATCTCTGCAGGAAATCCAGGGTGTGGGGAACAGGGTTAGAATGGGGTTTTTAAATAGGTGGCTGTGAAGCATTGGAAAGTATCTCCTAGCAACAAACATCGAGATGTTTTAAGCTTGTTCATGGCTTCACACGCTGCTCAGAAGCTCCTATTGTAAAGCAGCTCCAATTAACAAAAGAAAGTAGATCAGATTGAACCTGAAATAACACTAATATCAAGAATGGCACCTGCCTAAATCACAGCAAAATTCGAGCAGGTAAAGTAAGTGCAGTAGCTACCCACTGGCTGGCAGAACAAGCTTTTAGCTCCTGTGGATCTGTAGCAGAACTAAAGGACGGATGGAACAAGGTGAGTTAGTTGCCAGGCATCAGGGCAGGCAGCAGCGTGCTAATCAGCTGGCTCCTTACCAGGGTGTAAGAGGCAAAGTGTGCATCAGGTGTGATGGATGGAGCTTTGTCCACCTGCAAACCCTTTGCAGGCTAAAGTAGAATCTTGGGTGTTCAGAGTGAGAGGGTCCCACCACACTGTGCCATTCCAGGGTGATACCTGGGCAATAGCCATTTTCCACTCGAATTTCCAGACCCTGTTGTGGATGAGACTTTCTCACTTGTTCCAATTCTTGTTATTTTAGGCCTTCAATTCGGAGACAGATAACTTCAAGCTGGCGTATGGAGGGCACCAGTACCATGCAAGCTGTGCAAACTTCTGGATCAACTGTGTGGAGCCAAAACCTCCAGGTCTTATTTTGCCAGACCTGCTCTGAAAGCAGTTGCACTGAAGATGGAATATCGGGTCTGATAATGCAGGACACGGGGTGTAAATGATGTAATAGGGTAAGTGGAAAGGCCTGAGGTATGTGGTTAGTGGTTCAGATTTGATTTTTGTACCTAACAGGTTAAAGCCACCATCACATACAAATTGCTCATGAAGAATTTCACTTGAAAGGGACAAGGTTTTGGAAATAACCAGGGAAAAAAATGTAGTGTGGCAAAAAAAGCAGCATTTCAGTCTTTCTAAGATGGAAGCAGGTTAGTCCTTATATGAAGTGCAGTCTGCTAAGCAAGTGCATAAACCTGAGAGAGGCCAGTACCCAGCTTCCAAGAAAAACTGGAATGCTGGACTGATTTGCACAGAAGTGACCACTTAAATACTCAAAGGACAGATTTGCAAACACATCTTTTGGTGTATGGACCATGATGTTTTTCCTTTATTTGCTGCTCTAATATTACGAGGCACGAGTCACAGTAACTTTCAAGGCAAAATGGATTATTGACTTAGAAGGAATCAGGCTGCAGAGCCACTGTATATTTATACTTCCACTGATCTGTACTGTAAATTATACTGTATTCATGTGTGTAACTGGTTACTACGGGGGGGATAAGGACTTGAAGGAATTGTTGACATTTTCCCTATAATATCTGGATCCTTTAGTACAGGCAGCTGGATTTTAAACCTTGTCTTTGCTACTCCGTTGTAAACACAGACAAACTCCTTCCTTGGCTTGTTACGCTTCTCCTGATCCTTTGGTAGTCCTGTGGCTGCATCACTGTTGAAAACTGGACTCCACTGATAGCAGTGTGTCTGCTCCTGTGTGTATGTATGTGTGTTACCTCTTTCACACCTTAATACGCCTTTGTGGATGGGATGCCTGCGTGGAACTTGTGCAGTCTAGTGCTCTCTGTAGTAACGTGTTTCTCTGACTCAGAGCTGGCAGCACGAGATGGCCCTGAGCTCCTGCTGCAGGTGGGTGTGATTTAACCCTGCAAGGTGCTGGTGGGCTGAAGCAGGCTGGGTTTTGAAGCAAGGTGTTGCTGTTGCTGTTGCTTATGGTTAGGTACAGCTGTGTGGACAGAAGGAGGTCAGTAGAACAGACTAAAATGTTACACAGACATCTAAAATACCCAGTTCTCTCTTCGGATGCAATATGCAGATGACAGTGCAATCAGCTCTAGTGCTAGTAACAGACTTATAAACCCAGTGGGAGCTTCCTGACATTACTGTAAGAGCCTTATCACAAGACAGTCTTCCTCAGTCTGCAGCGAAGGACGTGGGGTCTATATCCATCAGGTACAACTCGCTGCTTAATTCTCTGACTTAAGTTTCTCAGATCTCTAGAAGAATCTCCCTTCTTTCCAAACATACCAACAGCTTTTCCAAGTCTTGCCTTTGTTATAAGGAGCCGACACTGGTTGGTTATTTGCTGAAATAGAAATTACAATGAGGAAAAATGATGCTTCATATTAAAAAAAGGCTTAGTTATACTAAACTGTTAATTACACCAAATGGAAGCATCTTGGCTCCCAGGAGTGCCAGGTGTCTGGCCCCTTATTTACACAAATTAAAACAAATCATCTCGCTGCCTGAAATTAGCTCCTTCTTGAACTAAGCATCTTGTGCCTCCGGCCACAAGCTCACGCTCATCGAGAGGTGGATTCTCCCTCGCGTGACAGTGGCTCCTGCCTTCTGCTGCCCAGTAATTAGCTGAAAAGGGGCAGTCACTCCCTGCCTGCTCCGCATTTCTCGTTAGGTGTGTTCATTAGTCAGCACTGTAGCTTTTTGAGCACAGACACGGTTTCCCTTCTCAGTCAGGGGCTGCTCTACCGGCGCGAGTGTTCCCGCTGCTGTCAGGGCTCCGCGTGGCACAGAAATCCAGCTCTTCCCTTCCCATCCTGAATTCCAGCAGCACTCCAGCATTGCCTGGCTGGAAGCAAACGCCTCTCCTTGCTGCTAGCGAGGGGACTTCTCGAGTCCTTTGGAGTGGCTGGGCTGACGCAAGGGTGCTGCTTATGAAATGCTATATTGGGAAAGGGAGTCGATGGTTAGCGCGGGTTTCCACGCAGCTCCTGCACGCTCAGCTAGATAGGAGGCTTGTTTTTCCTAATTAAAAGAGAATGCCACAAATAAAAGAAGCCACAATGTGAAACTTAAAGCAACCATTATTTCAACTCCAGCACCAGCTGTACTGACATAAAAGCATTCTTCAGTGATGTTTTCCTTGCACTTGTTAAGCAGGTGAGTTCCTTCTCTGAGGTGCATCCAGCGTGTCTGTTGGACCATAAAAACAAGGAATGGACATTTACAATTACAATTGCAGCAGAGCTAGGTGAAGTATGACACCCCTGCCTGCTTGCTGCCTACCAAAGGGAAGGCACAGGCAGTGCTGTCGTGTTTGTGGCAAGCAGAAAGTGTTCTGAGCTGCACACCTTTACGTCATGGGAATATCCCAAATGGTCTGCATGTCGATACCCTCGATAAAGGCATTGCACAAGGAGGATCATCTCGCATCTCCTAGTCATTACAATGACTCACTGTTGCATTCAGCATCTTCTCAGCTACTGCATTGCCAGCCAAAGCCCAGTGTCCTTGCAATCTGTATCCAAGGTTACAGTATTTTCTACAGTACTTCATAACAGACCACGTTCCCCCCTCCCTTTGCATATGGGCTGATGGACACGCTGCCTTTCGCTTTGGTCGTCTTGAATTTCATGACTGTAACTCCTCCTCCTGCATGTTCTTCACTAGAAAAGAGAAACTGGATTTTCTTCTTTGTTTTTAACGTATGTGTTCTCTGGAGCTGCCTTGGGGTTACCTTTGGGAAGTGATTTTTTTTAATCTATTTGTGTGTATTTGGTGTTCTAAGGGATTATTTGCTTGGCTATTTAATGTGTATATTGCTTTATCCGGCTGTATTCCCAACACATCTGTGCACTGCAGTTTTTTCCACAGGGATGCTGGGGAGTGAGTAGAGCGTTCCCAGCCCATTCCCTGCCCATCCATTCCCACATCGTGGTTGAGTATCTCCCTAAACTTGCCGAGGTTCTTTGTGGAGTGGGAACTGTTCTGTTCTGTGCTTGACTCTTCCTCTTTGGCAGCAGCTTCTCTTCACCTGAGTTGTTTGAGCAGCTCCTTCCTCAACATTCTGCAGTATTTATGAAGTGATAGTGAAGTTCAACCTAAGGGTGGGAAGCAGCTCCTGAGAACCCAAGGAATACTCCAGTTCCTGGTTAGCTACAAGTCAGGTTATTAAACTGGAAACAAAACCTGCCTTTGCAATAAAAGCTGCTATTGTACAAACTACTTCTTTCAGAAATATCTCTTTTGTTTGCTCTCTGGACCTGTCTTGAATTCCAGTTCTCAATATTAAAATATAAATGTCATAATTTTATGAAGAAAAGTGGTCAGAAAACTTCTCTTTACATTGGGATTCTTTATCCTGCCCTCGGGGCGAACGTTGTTTCTCTTGTAGAAGTGGTTTTGTGGTCAGTAGTTGGAGCAGTTTTGGTTTGTGCAATGCTGGAGTCGCTGCTGGTGTTTTAAAGCTGATGAGAAGAATGTGATTGACTTAGTGCATCGTGAACTCCCTTGATTCTTGCAATGGTTTCTAAATCCTGTCTTGAGATTCAAACCTTGTATTCAATAAAGAGCCTGTTTCGTATCTGACCAACCTGTGAAGTGGCTTGTTGCAGGATGCAGCATTGGGTTTGCTGCTGGTTGGTGCCAAAGGTGTCATCTCCGTGGGGGAAGCTCCTCCATGGAAATACCTGGGCAGGGAGAGACCTTCCTGTGTCCTGTAAAACATCTTCTGCTGAATGAACACAAGAGGGACTTCAGCAAAGAAACACCCACAAGTATTAATACCATGGTGCTGCTCCATCATATAATCCCTAATGGGTATTTCAGGTGGATTCTTCATTTCCTAATGTGCTTTATTAGGCAATTACATTGTTTTTATAGGCTTAACTTTCCCTTTTGTTTAAAAGTCTCACTCTTGATGCTTGCCTGGCTGAACATCAGATCTTCCCCTCCCCTGGGTCCTAGGGCTTTATACTGTATATAGCCTATATAATAATTGAAAGCAGAGATTTTTTACCTCCCAGTTTTTATATAGACAATACTGTTAAATCAGACACAGTCCATGTTGTAGGAGAAGTTCTGTTTTGAAAGCAGACTCCAGCTTTAGTGTGTCTTTCCCCTTTGAAATGCCAGTCTCCAGCCTAATGACCAGTCTTGATTCTTACCCTCTAGTTCCTTTTCTCACTGCCCATTTCCCTGCTTTAACTCATGATAAAAATAGAGGGATGAGCAGGATGTGTTTTGTAAGTGGATGGTGAGTCTCCTGTGTCTGTCACTGAAACCAGGACACGACCATGAAACCCGAACTGGGTGCAGCTGATGGCAGAACCCCCTTGTATTCCAGTGGGCTAAAAACTCCTTCTTGCTCAGCTGCAAAAGCAAGCAGAAACTTCCATTTCCCAGTGTGGGGCTGTGCTTCCTGCTCGTGGTGCTGAAGGATGGTTTGATATTGTTGGGAAAACTGGGGTGGAAGTACTTGGGGGG